AAACATTTTTAAAAGAATTTCATTCAAAATTTGATGTTTTTTTTCAATTTTTCTTGAGAAAATAATCGTTTTTTAAATTATTTAATTCAGAATTTTATTATTTTGTTTATTTTTCAATTTTACTGGGGAAAATAAACATTTTTTTGAAAATATTTTATTCAAAATTTGATTTTTTTTTCAATTTCAATTGGGAAAATATTAATTTTCAAGATTATTTTATTCGGAATTTGATTATTTTGATTATTTTTCATTTTTTTATTCTGAAAATAAACATTTTTGAAATAATTTTATTCAGAATTTGATAATTTTGATAATTTTTTCAATTTTAATTGGGAAAATTAACATTTTTAAAAGAATTTTTTCAAAATTAAATTATTTTTCAATTTTTCTTGAGAAAACAATAATTTTTAAATCATTTTCTTCAAATAATTGGATTATTTGATTAGAAAACATGAAGTTTTTTTTTGAAAAATCACCCTGTTTATTTGCCCCTTGGCGCCAGCACAACATGGTCATATCTTGTGCATCTATTTATTAAGAATCTCTTTGACGTTGAAATGCTTGTGCAAAATTTCTCTGCGTATTTTCATTCACTGACTTTCAACAAGGAGGGTTGAAATTTATTTGTCAGCAAGTTCTTTTCACCGTGCCGTGGAGGGTGTCTTCCCTCTCTCTCTCTCTCTCCCTCTCTGAATGGCTTGAGACTCTCAAGCTCGCAAGCGATGAGGTCACTTGAGCTGACAAACTATCAATTGAGAAAAAGAGTGGAGGAAAAAATCGAAACATGCGCTGAGAAAGAATCACGACTATAAATTTCTTCACGTTTCCTCAATCAAATGTCTTTGGACAAGAGAAGAAGAGGGTTTGAGAAGTCGTCAGAGGGTTGATAATATAGATTTTCAGTGCCACATTTTCATTCAAGATCAAGAGATATCTTGGAAAATAGAGAAAATAGACTTGAAAATGACGGACTCGAGAATTCTGTGCAGAGTTTTTAGAGGAAAAAATAAGATAAGGAAACAGAAAAATGTATTTTAAGTGTCAAATTGTTAGTTAAAAAAATTATTATAAAAAATTATTATTTTTCCAAAGTACAATTGAAAAATAATCGAATTATGAATAAAATAATTTAAAAAATGTTTATTTTCCGAATAAAAAATTGAAAAAAAAATCAAAATAATAAAATTATGAATAAAATTATTTCAAAAACTAAAATTTTTCCAAATAAAATTAAAAAATAATCAAATTCTGAATAAAATAATTTTAAAAATTTTTATTTTCTGAATAAAAAATTGAAAAATAATCAAATTCTGAACAAAAAAAAATTAAAAAAAAAATGTTTTTTCTCAATTAAAATTGAAAAATAATCAAAATATGAATTTAAAAAATTTTTAAAATGTTTTTTCCCAATAAAAATTGAAAAAAATCAAATTCCTCAATTAAAAACTTAAAAAAATTATTTTCCCAAAAAAATTTAAAAATAATCAAGTTCTAAATAAAAAAAAAACCAAAAAATGATTAATTTCCCAATTGAAATTGAAAACTAATTAAAATAATCAAATTCTAAATTAAATAATCACAAAAAATAATAATTTTCAATCAATTAATTCACAATTACCTATCTAGGTATATTGATTATTTTTCAATTTTAATTGGAAAAATAAAAATTTTTAAAAAATTTTTCAAAATTTGGTTTTTTTTCAATTCGACTTGGAAAAATAATAATTTTTTATTATTTTTCAATGAAAATTTGATTATTTTTCAATCTTACTTGGGAAAAATATTTTTTTTTTATTATTTTGAAGTAAAAATTTGTTTTATTTTCTAATTTTTCTTGAAAAATAATTATTTTTTTAATAAAAATTTGAATATTTTTTAATTTTTACTTGGGAAAAAATCTTTTTTTTAATCTTTTTTTAAATCTTTTTTTGGGGGATTCTGAATAATTTGATTTTTCAAAAACTTTTTCTAATTTTAGTTTGGAAAAAATTTATATTTTGATTATTTGATTGAAAATTTCATTATTTTTCAATTTTTCTAGAAAACTATTTGTTTTTAAATTATTTTATTTAATTATATATATTTATATATATATATATATATATATATTATGTTTGAGTCAAAATTTGTTTATTTTCTAATTTTTCCTGAAAAATAATCATTTTTTATTAATTTTTATTAAAAATTTGATTATCTTTCAATTTTACTTGGGAAAATAAACTTTTTAAATTTTTTTCTGAAGAATTCTGAAGAATTCGATTTTTTAAAATTTATTTATTTTTAATTTCACTTCGAAAAAAATCATTTTTTGATTATTTGTTTCAAAATTTTATTGTTTTTAATAATTTTACTTGGTAAAATAATCTTTTTTCTTGAATATTTCATTTGAGAATGTTAAATTTCCTCAGCAATCGCCCCTTGAGATTTGCTTCTTTCTATTTTTCCCTTCTCATGTAGGGGTAAGTGGGGCAGCTTCAGATTCAAAATGCTGTTCCAACTTTAGGATTTTTTCTTGAAAAATCGGCTGAATATATTGAAATGATCACAACGCTCAAATAAACTCTCGTCTATTGAGCTTCAGAAAATGCCTTTCATTGGGCATTAAAACTGATCCTTTTTCCTCTAAAGGAGAATGAAAATAATATTGTAAATAATCTGAAACTGCCCCGCACGGGGATGTTTCGGATTGCTCTGGGGCAGCTTCAGATTTTCACTGATATTTACCATAAATTCCATTGTGGAATTGTAGAATCGCGAACAAATGATCACTTTGGTTTCTAATCTACGCACTGAAACTGTTTATTTCGCTAAAAATCGCCTTTAAAGTAATATTTTCGCGACTTTTCTGGACCCTTGCACGCACTGTCAAAATTTCTGAGCGAAAAGCAAGTTGCCCGTCATTTTTCCTGTGTCGCAACGCCACCATGCGTGAGTGGTGGCAACTTCAGTGCCACCACAAATCAAATCAGTGCAAATCAGAGATTTTCGCGTGTATTTTCTCACTTTTCCACTAAGAAGTCGTTTAACGTGATGAAGCAATGCAGCACAGAACGGCACTTTGTGAAAAACTTCAATATTTGCCACAAGAAAATTTCGACCGTGATGTTGCGTCATTCTGTCAGAGCGCGCTGTTGTCAGTCCGTGGCGATCCGAAACTGCCCCGTGTGCAGTGTTTGTGCATTTTCCACCACCCACTGAAAAGGCCGTGCCAAGGAGGAAAAGTTCGGGCATATTTAGAATCTCTACTTAATTCTCAATAACCTTTGATTGTGTTTCACGCGAATTGTGGCTTTTTTAATGGAGAAAACACGCAATCAATTCGGCAGCAAAATTCTAGTTTGTGAGTGATTTTCAATTTTCACTTATTTTATCTAAACAGTAAAGGAAATCCTGTGCAAATTTTCGTCAATTGTAGTCCTTAAGGACTACAAACATTGTGTGAAAACCAGGAATTTATTCATGTGAAAATCTCCGAGAAAATTAAGAAATCTGAAGCTGCCCCAATCTGAAGCTGCCCCATTTACCCCTACACAAATTTCTCCACATGTCAGAACAACTCTTTCACGGCACACACGAACAGCCATAAATAATGCTGATGATGGAAAATTTTATAGGTTTTCAATTAAAATCCGTGGAAATTTCACCCCTTCTTTCGTGGTTGATTCTCGATAGCGTCAAATGAGAAAAGGGGCGATAAATGTTTCACCGCATCCATTCTGGTGGAAAATGCTCGCGCTGCAACAAAAAAAAAAACCCGTCGAGAAGAGCAAAAATCAATTTTCTCCTCCCTTCTGACTGACCTCTTCTTCGCCACTTTTCCTCCTCAGCCACACACACACAGCCACAGTTTCGTGTCTGCAAATGAGATGTTTGGACAGGCAGAGAAATTCCCTGTGAAATTGAGCCGCTGCACAAATGCACATGACAACCCAAGGGGGAGATATTATGGGCAAAAGTTATGTACAATTCACTAGAAGTATTTCTGAATTTTATTCAAATTTTATTATTCATTCATAACAAAAATTTGGATTATTTTTTTGATTATTTTCTCTGAATATTTTATCACATTTTCAATATAAATTGAATAATTGTGAATATTCTGAAATTCATTGATTGAAAAATATCTTTTTTTTAATATTTGATTCAAAATTTGAATTTTTTAAATTTTAGTTTGGAAAAATTCTTTTTTTGTTATTTGACTCAAAATTTCATTATTTTTCAATTTTACTTGGGAAACATAATTTTTTTTTAATTTCTTATTCGAAATTAACTTATTTATATTTTTTCTTGAGAAATAATTATTTTTAATTAATCTTTATTGAAAATTAGATTATTTTTCAGTCAAAATTTGTTTTTTTTTCAAATTTTTCTTGAAAAATAATTATTTTTTAATAATTTTTATTAAAAATTAGATTATTTTTCCATTTTACTTGGGAAAAAGTCTTTTTTTTTATTTTTTTCTTGAGAATTCTGAAGAATTTGATTTTTTAAAAATTTTTTTTTGTAATTTTAGTTTGGAAAAAATTTATTTATTTTTATTATTTGATTAAAAATTTCATTATTTTTCAATTTTTCTTGGGAAAAAAATCATTTTTTTATAATTTTTTGCTCAAATTTCAATTTTTTTCAATTTTTCTAGAAAACTATTTGTTTTTAAATTATTTTATATTCAAAATTAAATTATTTTCTCAATTTTACTTGGGAAAAATATATATTTTTTTTTTATAATTTTTGAGTCAAAATTTGTTTATTTTTTAATTTTACTTGGGATAAAAATCTTTTTTTTAAATCTTTTCTTAAGAAGTCTGAAGAGTTTGATTTAAAAAAAATTTTTTTGTTATTTTAGTTTGGAAAAAATTCATTTTTTGATTATTTTTCAATTTCACTTGGGAAAACAATAATTTTTCCTGTTATTTCACTCAAATAATTGGATTATTAAGTCTCCTCAATGCATTAATGAATAAGAGGAGGGGGGGGTTGGGGTGGGGGGTTGTGCTCACCTTATGGAAAATGACGAGGAGATCATCGAGCTTGCCGTGCAGGTCGCCGCAGATGGTGACTTGCTTGGAGATGGCCGTGGAGGCCTGATTGAGATTTGGCAGGCGTTTGAGGCGCGCCTTGGCGTCGCGCAGAATTCCCGCCACGTACTTTGGGTGGAGGCGGTTGTACTTCTTCTTCCGGAACAGATCTATCATCGCATCCAAGTCCCTCTTCGTCAGCGGAAAGGCGATGTGCGGGCCGCGGTAGGTCATCTTCTCCGGTCCACTGATTCCCTCCTCCGCCAACTCATCCGACTCATCGGAGAACTTCATGTCGATCGCCTCCGTGGACGACGACCTGGACGTGTCGCACGAATCCAACTGTTTCGACATCGTGTCCGGGATGTGCGTCAGCAGGGCATTGAAGAAGTTGTACAACTGCGAAGAAGGAGTTGCAAGAAAACAGATTTCTCTCAGCACAAATACATATTATGCCGGCAAAAGTCACATAATTCCAAGGGGCTGTTAATGTGGGTTTTGAGTGCCACAATATCTCGCATCGCGACTGCATTTCGGCTGTGATTTTGACTGTATTTTTTACTGCATTTTGACTGCAATTTTGGCTACATTTTGAGTGCAATTTTTAGTTAAATTTGACTGTAATTTTGACTGCAATTTTTACTGCATTTTGATTGCAATTTTGACTGGAATTTTATCTGCATTTTGACTGTAATTTTGATCTATTTCGACTGGAATTTTGACTGAAATATTGATTGCTTTTTGACTGTAATTTTTACCCTATTTTGACTATAATTTCGACCTTATTTTGACTGTATTTTTTACTGCATTTTGACTGCAATTTTGGCTACATTTTGACTGCAATTTTGACTTAAATTTGACTGTAATTTTGACTGCAATTTTGACTACAGTTTTGACCCTTTTTTGACTGTAATTTCCAATGCATTTCGACTGGAATTTTGACTGAAATATTGATTGCTTTTTGACTGTAATTTTAACCTTATTTTGACTATAATTTCGACCTTATTTTGACTGTATTTTTTACTGCATTTTGACTGCAATTTTGGCTACATTTTGACTGCAATTTTGACTTAAATTTGACTGTAATTTTGACTGCAATTTTGGCTACAGTTTTGACCCTTTTTTGACTGTAATTTCCAATGCATTTCGACTGTAATTTTGATCTATTTCGACTGGAATTTTGACTGAAATATTGATTGCTTTTTGACTGTAATTTTAACCTTATTTTGACTATAATTTCGACCTTATTTTGACTGTATTTTTTACTGCATTTTGACTGCAATTTTGGCTACATTTTGACTGCAATTTTGACTTAAATTTGACTGTAATTTTGACTGCAATTTTGGCTACAGTTTTGCCTTTTTTGACTGTAATTCCAATGCATTTCGACTGTAATTTTGATCTATTTCGACTGAATTTGAGAAATTTGATTGCTTTTGAGTAATTTTAACCTTATTTTGACTATAATTTCGACCTATTTTGACTGTATTTTTTACTGCATTTGACTGAATTTTGGCTACATTTGACTGCAATTTTGACTTAAATTTGACTGTAATTTTGACTGCAATTTTGGCTACAGTTTTGACCCTTTTTTGACTGTAATTTCCAATGCATTTCGACTGTAATTTTGATCTATTTCGACTGGAATTTTGACTGAAATATTGATTGCTTTTTGACTGTAATTTTAACCTTATTTTGACTATAATTTCGACCTTATTTTGACTGTATTTTTTACTGCATTTTGACTGCAATTTTGGCTACATTTTGACTGCAATTTTGACTTAAATTTGACTGTAATTTTGACTGCAATTTTGACTACAGTTTTGACCCTTTTTTGACTGTAATTTCCAATGCATTTCGACTGTAATTTTGATCTATTTCGACTGGAATTTTGACTGAAATATTGATTGCTTTTTGACTGTAATTTTAACCTTATTTTGACTATAATTTCGACCTTATTTTGACTGTATTTTTTACTGCATTTTGACTGCAATTTTGGCTACATTTTGACTGCAATTTTGACTTAAATTTGACTGTAATTTTGACTGCAATTTTGACTACAGTTTTGACCCTTTTTTGACTGTAATTTCCAATGCATTTCGACTGTAATTTTGATCTATTTCGACTGGAATTTTGACTGAAATATTGATTGCTTTTTGACTGTAATTTTTACCCTATTTTGACTATAATTTCGACCTTATTTTGACTGTATTTTTTACTGCATTTTGACTGCAATTTTGGCTACATTTTGACTGCAATTTTGACTTAAATTTGACTGTAATTTTGACTGCAATTTTGACTACAGTTTTGACCCTTTTTTGACTGTAATTTCCAATGCATTTCGACTGTAATTTTGATCTATTTCGACTGGAATTTTGACTGAAATATTGATTGCTTTTTGACTGTAATTTTAACCTTATTTTGACTATAATTTCGACCTTATTTTGACTGTATTTTTTACTGCATTTTGACTGCAATTTTGGCTACATTTTGACTGCAATTTTGACTTAAATTTGACTGTAATTTTGACTGCAATTTTGACTTAAATTTGACTGTAATTTTGACTGCAATTTTGGCTACAGTTTTGACCCTTTTTTGACTGTAATTTCCAATGCATTTCGACTGTAATTTTGACTGAAATGTTGACTGTAATTTTTACTACATTTTGACTGCAATTTCGACTGTATTTCGACTTATATTTGACTGCATTTGGACTGCATTTTGACTGTAATTTTGACTGAATTTTGGCTACATTTTGAGTGCAATTTTGATTTAAATTTGAACTGCAATTTTTACTGCATTTCGACTGCAATTTAGATTGAATTTTTACTGGAATTTTGACTGGAATTTTGACTGGAATTTTATCTGCATTTTGACTTAAATTTTGTTTGCATTTCGACTGCATCAGATGCAATTTATTCTGGAATTCCCTCTTGAAAAAATATATAAATTGCAATTAAATCCGATCATTTGCGAATATTGACAAATTGTGTTAAACATTTTTATAGCTGCATCGCTGGCATTAGCAGTTCTTTGTATAATTCAAAATGTCCAGCGGCACATAATTAAATTAATTAATGAAATAAAATACAAATTTGACGCATTTGATAATTATTATTCGGAACACAATTTGGTCTTCGGCAGGAAATTCAGTCGGAAACTAAATATTTCAGTAACCTCTGCAATTTCCAGAAACACCTTTGAAAGGAAATTCAATCTTTCCCGTGTGTAAAATGACGAAGTGTTTTCCTTTCCACTCATCCATAGTCGTAGTCAGATACAGAGACTTTCAGTCGAGATTTTGGAAAAAAAAATCTTTTTTTGATATTTTATTTAGAGTTTGATTATTTTTCAATTTTACTTTGGAAAATATTTATTTTTTGATTATTATTTTATTCAAAATTTGCTTATTTTGCAATTTTAATTTGGAAAACAATTTTTTTTTATTCTTTTTATTCCAATTTTTCTGTCAACTCTCTTTTGGAAAAATATTAATTTTCTTGTTAATTTAATTCAGATTTTTATTATTTTGTATTTTCTTTTGAAAAAATAATTTTTTTTTTGATTATTTTATTCAAAATATGATTATTTTTTTTTAAATTCACTCGAGAAAATATTCTTTTTTATTGTTATTTAATTCAATATTTGGTTTTTTATGTAATTTTATTTGGGAAAATAAATTTTTTTTCAATTCTTTTTTCAGAAAATATTCATTTTTTGTCTCTTTTATTCAGAATTTGGTTATTTTGATTTTTTTTTGTAATTTTAGTTGAGAAAATAATCAAATTTTTTTATTATTTAATTCAGAATTTGTTTTTCTTTGATTTTTATTCAGAGAATAATCTTTTTTTTTTGATTATTTAAATCATAATTTGATTATTTTTCTTAAATTTTACTTGGGAAAATAAATATTTTTAATAATTATTTTATTCTGAATTTGATTATTTTTAAATTTTATTTGGAAAAATAAATATTTTTTAGAATTTTTTTATTCCGGTTTTGATTATTTTTCAATTTTATGTGGGAAAATAAATTTTTTTTAATTGTTTTATTTAAAATTTTATTATTTTTCAATTTTACATGGGAAAATAATCATTTTTTCATTAGTTTTTATTCAAAATTTATTTATTTTTCAATTTTACTTGGGAAAATAATCATTTTTTTTACTATCTTCCTCAAACAAAAAGGATTATTTGATTAGACAACATTATAAGTTTCCTCAAAAGTCGCCCCTTGTGATTTGCCCCTTGCTCGTGGCTGTTATTCTTCTTGACAGAGCGCAAGAAGGAGACGGAGGATTGGGGGTGGGGGAGGAAAACGGGTCTCAGCAGATAAGCGGATTGGAGGGTTGGATTTGGAGTCGCACTCGTTGCGAGACGATTACAAAATACCGAAATCATGAAACTCGAATTAAGGCGCAAAAAAAGAGATTGCAGGGTGTGTTTTTCCACCCCCTCCACTCCACTCCAATCCAACACTAAAATGCCTTTCATTGACTGTGCGGTGTATTTCGGGGGTTGAATTCCATCCGGCGGAAGTGAATTAGATTTTTCTTCTTTTTTTTCTTGGACAAGCAAAGCAAGAGAGAGAAAAAAACAAGGGGCAAATCACAAGGGGCGACTTTTGAGGAAACTTATAATGTTGTCTAATCAAATAAGCATTTTATTTGAGAAAGATTGTAAAAAAAATGATTATTTTCCCAAGTTAAATTGAAAAAATAATCATATTTTGAATGAAAAATAAAAAAAAAATGTTGATTTTCCCAAGAAAAAATTGAAAAATAATCAAAATAATCAAATTTAGAATAAACTAATTCTAAAATAATGTCTATTTTCTCAATTAAAATTGAAAAAATAAACATTTTCAAATAAAAAATAATTCAAAAATTATTTTTTCCCAAGTAAAATTGAAAAATAAATAAATTTTGAATAAAAACTAATAAAAAAAAATGATTATTTTCCCAAGAAAAAATTGAAAAATAATCAAAAAATTGAATTTTGAATAAAATATTTAAAAAATGATTTTTTTCACAACAAAAATTGAAAAAAAAATCAAATTCTGAATGAAATAAACAGCTCTTAATTAAATATACAGAAAATAATCAAAATTCAAATAAAAATCACGAAATAATCGAAAAAAAAGATTGAATCACACAAAGTTAATGGTCTCAACTTGCGCTAGTGATTAGCCCCTTGGAGAAAAAGTTCGCCAAGTCACGTTGTGGGCTGAATGGACACAAACACACACCATCGATTAGCACTTTGTTGGCAAACGCGCACAGACTTGGATGAGTTGGGGCGAAAGAAAATCGTGTCATGGCAGCACATTTGTATGTTTTCCTATCGGTCACTCTGTGATCCCCCGAAGGCAAGGGCGTAGGCAAGATTTCGTATTGTAGATATTAAATTATGTATGGTATCAAAGGGGCAGACATTATGGTCAAAAGTGGTGTACAGCTTGAGAGGAAGTGTTTAGAAGTGGAAGTGACATTTCCTGCAGGAATCCTGCAGGAAATTCCACAGAAATTCCTGCATGGACGAAGAGAACCGTAACGAAGAAGCAGACCGCCTCGCTGTTGCTGGGGCTAGGTCTGACTTCATTGGTCCCGAGCCTGCTGTGGGCGTCTCTTTATCACTGAAGAGACAGATCTTACACGGGCACTTTTCTAAAGAACACCAAGCAGATTGGACCGCGTCAGACAACTGTCGCGTGTCTAAACTGTTTATGGTCGGCCATGATAAGAATAGGACGGAGTTCATAGTCGGTGGCAGCAGATGGAGATCCCGGACGCTCGCCAACCTGCTAACTGGGCACTGTCTCAACAAACATCTCAGTAGATTAGGCGTTAATTGCACCACATCCTGCAGAGGCTGTGATGAAGCGGAGGAGACGGTCAAACACCTTGTGTGCGACTGCCCTCGATTTGTGAATGTCAGAAGAATCCTTTTAGGAAAACCATTACTCTTGGAAAGTGACCTATCGAGGCTAAAGCTAGCTAGTCTGCTGAACTTCGTTCGGAAGACTGGCTGGCTTAATCATCCTTGCCTTGTATAGAAGATGTTATTTTGTATCGGGGATGCATAAAGGGCCCGTCAGATGGCCTGGATGCCGTGGAGCAAGACTTCTTGCACCACCCCTATCTTTAATCTAATCTAATCTAAAAGAACCGTAAATGGCGGATTTATACCGGATTTTCCTGCAGGAATCCTGCAGAAATGCCGCGTTTTCACCGTTCTTTTCCCAAATTGTGAAAAAGTGGAGGAATCTTGCGGGAGAATTCCACCGCAATTCCGGTATTTGAGAAAGAAGAAACCGGAACTGCGGTGGAATTTTCCTGCAAGATTCCAGCAATAATCCGTCATGGCAAATCATTCGTTCCGGCGCTTCCAGTGTCTCAGCCACTCAGGATGAGGGAATTTGCATGGAGGATTCCCGGCGGAATCCTGCGGGACGCCTCCTTTGTACGACCTTTAAAGTGAAGGAATTTGAATTCGGGATTCCTGAAGGAATCTTGCAAGATTCGTCCACCGTTTGTCTCCCCGTTTAGTGAAAAGGGATTTGGCTTTAAGGATTCTTCAGAGGAATCCCGCAGTGTGAACTCCGTCATTTTCAGATGGTCGATTTGACGGTGGATTTTCCTGCAGGAATCCAGCAGAGCATAATTTGGACTCTGGAGCCAACATGATGGAAAAATCGGTGGAAAAACGTCGGATAGCGGATTGATTTTTACTGGGTACAAGGATCAGAGCTGAAGGTCTCCTCGCGCGGTGCGTGCGCGTGAGAAGAGTGTGCGTGTGCGTGTGAAAAGGGTCAGAAACGGTGCAATTCGCGTCTGAATTATTCCATCACAGGCACTTTGTAACTCAATTAACCCACAACGCCCACACAGTGGCGTCGGAAATAGCTTCACACTCACCCTCAGCTGATCCTGCTCGCCGGCATACTCCAGATTCTGGAAGATTGTCCAGGAGAAGCGCCTCCGCACCTCCATGCGTGCCAGATAGCGACGATACCAGCGCTGAATCAGAATCGCCGCCTTCATGGCTGCAAGAAAAGGTCACAGAGAGTTCATTGAGTAAATTCATTATTTATTTTGTATATTTTTTGATTATTGTCTGAATATTTCATTAAAATTTGATTAAATTTGTACATTTTTTTTTATTATTTTCTGTATGTTGAAATATTTGACTAAAAAATTGTGGATTTCTTCCCTTTTTCACACATAATAAATTGTGGACAAGTGAATTGTGGAAATGGTGAAGTTTTCAAGCCTTTGAAGAATCTCTCATTCCGCTGTTTTTTTTCACCCCCTTCGGATTACCTACAATCGGCGTGCTTTCGCACCCCAAAAGCAAGTGACACTGAAGAAGATCTCTTCGTCTTCCGCACTTTCACTTTGTTGTGGGCGCCCTCTTTCCCCTCCCCCTGAAATGAAGTTCCTCCAGGCGAGAAAAATTGGAAAGGCGAACGTGGCGCAATTGAATTCCATAATATAGGCGAAAAAAAGAAGAGAGAAATCGATGGGAGTACCTTTGAGGAGCTTTTCAATATAGCAAGGGGCAGATATTACAGTCAGAAGTGGTGTACAGCTTGAGAGGAAGTGATAAGAAGTGGAAAAAGCTTCAATTTCAACCAAATTGAGACATTTTCCCACTAAATTTTGCTTAAAAATCCATTTAATTGCTTTTTTGAGGTTATGTTTAATTGAAAAACAGATTAAATTGTCAAATTTCACTGTTTCTTGGCAGATTTGAGCATTTTTGTGCGGAAAAACTTCATTTTGATTGAGAAAAAAGCCTAAAAGTCAAACATAACCTCAAAAATATCATTTTAATTGAAGAAAAATGTCATTTTTTCTAGGTTATTTTCGCGGTTTTTTACTTCACAAGAATATTTGCAGTGAAAAAGCTTCCGTTTCCACAAATTTAAGTATTTTTTTTCATTATTTTGACTAGAAAATTGAATTTTATTGCTTTTTTATAGGTTATGTGATAGAAAAACTCTTAAAATCATCTAATTTATGTTTAAATTAAGAATATTTCTTTTTTCTTGTCAAAATTAAGCACTTGCGTTCGAAAAAACTCAAGATTAGGTTAGAAAATTCCTTGAAAGTCAAACATAACCTCAAAAATATCATCTTAAATTGCAGAAAAATGTGTTTTTGCTTTGGTTATTTTCGCGGTTTTTTACTTTTAATAACTATTTGCGCTTCAAAAACTTCAATCTAAACAAATTAAGACATTTTCAAAAAAAATTTTGCCTTTAAAAATCAATTTGATCGCTTTGTTTTTAGGTTATGTTATAAAATAACCCTTCAAAATCATCAATTTTCTGTTTAAGGATGTGTTTAGAAGAGAAAAAAGCTTCAATTTCAACCAAATTAAGGCATTTTCCCACTAAATTTTGCTTAAAATCAATTTTATAGCCTTATTTGAGGTTATGTTAACGATTTAAAACACTTTCTGGCGCTTAAAAACCCTCAAAATTGTCAAATTTGTTCTAAAGCTTAGGAATTTTTCTATTTTCCTCTTTTTGTGTTCAAAATAACTCAATATTCGTTGAGAAAATGCTTTGAAGTTCAATCATAACCTCAAAAATAATGTTATTTCCACAGTTTGTGCTTTAAAAGTGATAAATTCAACCAGAATTTCTTGTAGAAACTTTTTGATTTTGGCTTTTTTCACTCATTTTCAGATTCAAAAAGATTAAAAATCAATTTTATCGCTTTTTGAATTGAAAAACAGATTAAATTGTCAAATTTCTCTGTTTCTTGACAGATTTCAGCATTTCGGATCGGAAAAAACGTCATATTGAATTGAGAAAAAGCTTAAAAGTATTGAAATGATTTCATAACCTCAAAAAATATCGAATTTCAGACTAGAAAAGTGTTTCTTTGGGTTATTTTTCGCGGTTTTTTCGTAGAAACATTGACATATTTCACAATATTTACTCATTTTCAAGGTTTGGAGGGATTTAAATTAGTCGTAAAAGAATTTTCTAAGCAGATTTCATAACCTCACAATTTGATTCTACTGTGAAAAAGTCAGAATTGAGTGAGAAAAACAGTTGATGGAGTGGAAAAAGCAATGGAAAATGCATTTTTAAGGGCGCTAAGAAGTGTCTAAAAGTGTTGTACATTGTTTAGCCGTATTATCTCTCCCTTGAGTATTGCTTTTACCATCTCACACCATTCTTCTGGATGGCTCCAGTCACGCATTTCCAGGTCTCACACTCTCTGCACGCTCAAAAGCAAAGGGGTTTCTTAATGTTGGACATGCAGTTGTAAATATTTACAAAAATTCGTCGAATTGCAGTTATTCCAGGAATAACTGAATCAAAGGGGGAGATAAAACAGTCCAGAAGTGGTGTACAAGTTCAGCAGAAGTACTTAAGAAGCGGAAGTGTTGAAAAACCTACATTATTCCTCTTCTGAGTGCTTCTTTTAGCGATAAATCATTCAGATTCTTTGAATGTTCTTAGATTTTCACGCAGGAACAAACGTAAAAATCATTTTTCTAGGTTATGTAAACGAATTAAGAACAGATTTAGTGAATAATTAGCATTTTAGAACGTAAATTCTGCTAGTTTTTGACAAAATTAAGCATTTGCAAGCATTAAACAATGCTTTTTTATCCTTTAATGTCAAGAAACACGCCAAATTGTGTTAAAATTCAACATAACCTCAAAAAACAGTCATTTGAACTTGAAAAGTGTTCATTTAAGAAACATTTCTGCATGATTTTGACTCAGAATCAGCACTAATCCAATGATTTAGTCTCTGATTTAGATCTGAAAACCTTCTTTAAGGGAATTTTTAAAGATTTCTGGGTTTTATTTTGAGGTTATGATCGAAAAAGATGTCTAAAAGAGAGTGTTTTAAAATTGAATTCTTGCAAATGAACAGAATTTAGCATTTGCAAGCATTAAACAATGCTTTTTTATCCTTTAATGTCAAGAAACACGCCAAATTGTGTTAAAATTCAACATAACCTCAAAAAATGACATTTGAACAAATTTCAGGACTATTTTGGTGAATCAGCAGATTTGAGTTCATCTGTAAATCAAAAGAGATAATTTTGTGCTTCAGAAAGCTTCCAGACTGAGTTTTTGAAGATTTCTTAGTGATATTTTGAGGTTATAATTGAAAAAAATACTCAAAAAAGTGCTTCAAAGTCGATTCTTATAGAAAATATCATAATATAAAATTCATAATATTATTCAAAACCATTTAAGGTTAGAAACTGAAACATAGTCTGTGGTTAGAATTTGGTAATAATCAGGTAACTCGACAACTTCTTGTGGATAAAGTAATTGAAAAGCTCTTAAAGTAAAGCAGCTTTTTTCAATTAAATTGAAATATGATTTATTTATTACAATAAAAATTTTGATTTTGAAAAATTTCGCATTTTTTAACACTCAAAACTCCAGCTGAGCAGCCCCTTGTCCAAAAGACATCTTCACTTCCGGGCCTCGTGTCGGTTCGATGGGGAAAATATGGTGATTTTCCGTCGCTCTCGCCTGGGAAAAGCACTGCTGACCACTGAATGAAATGCGTATTCAGGGGGAGAATTTATATTTCCAACCCCCAATTTGTGCTGGGAGATTTTCAGAGGGAGTCTCTCGCTTGTAATCCACTTAGAGAGGTCCAGCCCTCGATTGCCAGTCAATATTCCGACCTACTTTTTCCCAAGGATTCTTCATCGTTAACAATTTAGTGGCCATTGAATGATGAGTTCAACTTTAAATTAGGAATATTATTCACCTTTTTCCACTCTTTCTCCCTTTCTCTCTCTCTCTCTGTCGTCATTCATCCCTCGGGGGAGAACAAGGGGCTAATCACTGGCGCAAGTTGAGACCATTAACTTTGTTGTGGTTATTCAATCTTTTTTCTTTGATTATTTCGTGATTTTAATGCAAATTTTGATTATTTTTTGTAATTTTTTTGACTTTTTTTCTGAATATTTGATTAAAAATTGATTATTTTTTTATTGTTTGTGATTTTTATTCAATTTTTGATTCTTTTATAGAAAATTTTGATTTTTAAAAAATTATTTTCTGGATATTTAATTGAAAATTGATTATTTTTTGAATATTTTTTGATTATTTCTTCTGAATACCTAATTTGATTAAAAATTGTTTATTTCATTCAGAATTCTGATTATTTCTTAATTATTTATTTTTTTTTTATTGAAATTCAAATTTTGATTATTTTATACAAAATTCTGTTTTTTTTCTTGATATTCTTCAATTTTACTTTGGAAATTTTTTTTGTTAATATTTTATTCAAAATATGATTATTTTGCAGTTTTTATTTGAGAAACAATAATTTTTTGATTACTTGAGAAAATATTCTTTTTTTATTATTATTTTTTAATTCAGAATTTGAATTTTTTTGTAATATCCTTTTAGGAAAATAATTTTTTTTGATTATTAACTCAAAATAAGTTTTTTTTTTCAATTCTAGTTGAGAAAAAAATCATTTTTTCAAAATTTGGGTTTTTTTCTCAATTTTACTTGAAAAAATAATAATTTCTTTCTGATATTTTAATTTAAAATTTGAATATTTTTCAATATTATTTGGAAAAATAATAATTTTTTGATTATTTTTCAATTTTAATTGGGAAAATAATCATTTTTTTGTGATTATTTTCCTCAAATAATTGGACTATTTGATAAAATATGAAGTGTTCGCAAAAGTCGCCCCTTGTTTATTTGCCCCTTTGGGGGTGAAACTCTCCCCCGAGGTTGATTTATGGAATGTGTAAAATGGAATATTTTCCGAGTGAAAGAAACTTAAAATTTAATGCAATTTTCCTTCAAATGGTCGTTCTTTCAAGGGGCAAATTGCATTTTACACTATATGCAAATATTTATTTTATTGGCCTTTCTCTGCCGCATTATTCTGCGCTCTCTGCAAATGTGACTGTAAATCATGTGCGCCGGTGAAAATTCATTTCACTGCAGAAAAGTGATGAAATTTAGTAAAATTATTTCAGATATATTTTCACCTTTTGAATGTTTTTTTTAGCACTGAAAAAGGTATA